TGCTTGAGCTCAGACCACAAATCTCAGCATAGTATCCCCCAACAGAGTGCTCAAATTCTGAAGAGTTAGGACCAGGTCCATACCTTTGTTCCCCTCTGGCCCCTCAGGGTCAAGCACCGGCTGTGCTTGGGGGTGCTGAACTGTTTAAGTGTTCAGTTTCCCAGGCCACCGGCAAAACACTCAGGTCGGGCAGCAGTATATGGCTGTCTATTTGCAAGTACCACACTATTTTTACTACTGTAGCTTTGTGGTAAGTTTTGAAATCATGAAGTGTGAGTCCTCCAGCTTTTTTCTTCTTTTTCAGAATTTCTTTAAGGGGTAGAGAGCTATTTGGAGTCCCTTGAGATTTCATATGAATGTTAGGATGGGTTTCTCTATTTCTACAAAAAACAAAACAAAAAACAAAAAAATCCCCACATCATTGCGATTTTCAGAGAGACTGCCAATCTTAATCTGTAGATTGGCTTAGATATTATTGATATCTTAACAGTATTAAGTCTTCCAATTCATGAGTATGGGATTGTGTTCCATTTATTTGTGCCCTCTTTAATTTCTTTCAGAAATGTTTCATAGTTTTCATTGAACAAATTTCACGTACTGCCTTGTATAATTCCTAAGAATTTTATTTTTGTTTTATGCTACTATAAATAAAAGTTTTTAAATTTACTTTTTAACTTTTGTGTATATTTTAAGCTATTTTCCTTGTGATTAACATGATAATTACATTTAACATTTTGAAGTTATAACACGCTATATCAGCTTAACTTCAACAAATTCTGTTCCTTTAACAGCTATATCCCCATCTCCTTCAGTTTTTGATGTCACAACATTACATGTTTACACATTGTGGAACCAGAAACATAAACTTTTAATAATTAATAATTCTTTTAATAAAAATGTGGAGTTAGAAGCCAAAGTTATAACACTAGGTTTGACAATAATTGTTTGAAAAATATATTGTCTGCCAATCATATGGAAAACAAAAAGTGGAAACACATGCCATTGTTACAATAATACTAGTTTTTATAATTGCCCATGTATTTACCATCACTGAGATCTATATTTTGTCACACGGCTTCGAGTTACTGTTTCGCATATTTTCATTTCAAACTTCAGCACTCCCTTTAGCATTTCCTGCAGGGCAGGTCTATTGGTTAAAAAATTCCCTCGGGTTTTGTTTACTTTGGAATGTCATAATTTCTCCTTCATTCTTGAAGGCAAGTTTTGCCAAATATAGGATTCTTTGTGTTTTTTTTTTTTTTGGTTTTTTGAGATGGAGTTTCACTCTTGTTGCCCAGGCTACAGTGCAATTGTGCAATCTCGGCTCACCACAACCTCTGCCTCACGGGTTCAAGCAATTCTCCTGCCTCAGCCTCCTAAGTAGCTGTGACTACAGGCGCGTGCCACCACACCCAGCTAATTTTTGTATTGTTAGTAGAGACGGGGTTTCACCATGTTGACCAGGATGGTCTCGATCTCTTGACCCGTGATGTGCCCGCCTCGGCCTCCCAAAGTGCTGGGATTACAGGCATGAGCCACTGCACCTGGCCCCAAATATAGAATTCTTAAAGTTTTGGGTTTTTTTTTTTTTCCTTTAAGCATTTTAAATGTATTAATCCACTGCCTTCTGGTTTTTAAAGTTTCTGATGAGTAATCTGCTGATAATCTTATCAAGGATTCCTTGTATGTGGTAAGTCATTTCTCTCTTGCTACTTTTAAAATTCTGTTTTTGGCTTCGGACACTTTGGTTATAACAAATCTCAGTGGTGTCTCCTTGAGTTCATCTTATTTGGAGTTCATTAAGTTTCTAGAATGCTTATATTCAGATGCTTCATGAAATTTGAGATGTTTGTGGCCATTACTTCTTCCAATATTTTATCTACTCTTCCTTTCTCTATTCTCCCTCCTGGGGGCTCCCAGGATGCATATGTTAGTTCACTTAACCTGGTGTTTCACAGCTTCGGCTAGTAGTGTTCACTTTTTCTTCCATTTTTTTTTTCTTCTTGTTCCTCAGACTTGATCATTTTCATTGTCCTAGCTTCAATTTCACTGATTCTTTCCTCTGCCTGCTCAAATATGTCTTTGAATTCCTATAGTAAATTTTTCATTTTAGTTATTGTACTTTTAGATCTCAGAATTTTCTTTTATCTATTATAATTTCCATTTTGTCCATACATAGTTTTCTTGACTTCCTCTATGTCTTCCCTCAGTTCTTCGGCATATTTAAAGCAGCTTCTTTAGTCTTTATCTAGTAGATCTGCCATCATATCTTTTTCAGGGATCCTTTCAGTTGGTTTTTCTTCTTTGAATGGGCTCTACTTTCCAGTTTCTTTGTATATTTTGTAATTTTTTTTTGTTATTGAAAACTGGACATTTGCATCTAATAATGTGGTAACTGTAGATATTAGACTCCTCCTTAAGGCCCTGTTAGATGCCTCCTTTCCCCCAGGGTTTGCTGTTTTCTGCTATTTTTTTTTTTTTTGGTGTAGGCTTTCTTTCTCATGTAAATCAACACGAGGTATAAAATTAAGGTCTTCACATGTTTCCTGAACCTGTGCCTTCTAAGCTTGCACAAAAAAATTTCAAATTTTCCCGTTATGTATGGTTGCTTTAGAATGTACTAGTTTTCAATATCTGGATCCCAAAAGGAGAAAAAAATTAAGAAAAAGAAAAAAACAGTGTCAGCCTTTAAAGTCTCTAAAAGTCACCTTTGGCCCGAGGGAAGGAGTTGGCAATAATTATGTGTGGAGGAAACAATGACAATGGTCTCTGCCTCTTTGTACCTCTATGATCAAAGAACAGATACCCAGTGTTGGAGGAAAAGGCCCCTTTTGCTGACCCTGGCTCCCATAAGCTGTGTGCAGGCTGTTCCAGGAACATGTGCACATCTGATACCACAGGTTTTGGGGGTGGGGAATGGATAGCTGCTATTGGGCTAAGAGCAAAATTTTTATTATTAATTTTTGCTATTCACCAAAATTAACTGCAAATTACCAACCAAGCCTTCCCCCGGAAGTTGCAAGCCATCAATAGATTCCAGAGTTTCAAAAGAGTTACATCAAATAGATTCGCCCAGTATAATTATTGTCTAGGTGGGTAGACAGATTTCTGGTACCTCTTACTCTGCCATCTTCACAAAATACCCTTTTAAGACTGATATTCTAACTGTATTCCATATAATTGGGAAAGCTGAAAAATACTGTGTTAAGCAGAGATATAGAAGATATTTTAAAAAAACAAAACACCCAATTCTTTACATTAAGTACTCTATATTAAATACCACTTAAATAACAGAGAAACGTGATTGCATCTTGTTACGTAAAATCATAAGCTTTTCTATTTTTTAATTTTTTAAATCATTTTTTAAGATACAGGTTCTCACTCCATCACCCAGGCTGGCATGCAGTGATGCAATCATGGCTCACTGCAGTATTGAACTCCTGTCTCAGATGATACTTTCACCTTGGACTCCGAAGTAACTGGGACTATAGTTGAATGTCAACAAATGTGGCTACTTTTTTTTTTTTTTGTAAACACAGGTCTAACTTTGTTGACCAGGCTGGTCTTGAACTCCTGGGTTCAAGCAGTTCTCCCATCTTGGCCTTCCAAAGTACTGGTGTTACCAGCATGAGCCTGTATTCTGCTCCTAGCCCACATTTAAAAAATTATTGTTGTATGAAATTTCAAATATGTATAGAAGAGCAAGTGTAGAGGCCAACTACTGAGATTGGAATGGGTTATGAGTATTCCCTCAGCTTCAAATCCATTGCTTCGTTCTCATCTTTGAGATTTGGGGCTTTGTCAGGTCCATGCTCAATAGACTGTACTCAACGCATGTGCTACAGGGAGATAAACGGCTAGGGAGGGAACAAGGGACTTCTCCCTCCGGTTCTACTTCCTGTTGCTTCCAACATCACCCCAGCTGTGGTTCTTCACTCAATAAGTAGCAAGTGATTCCCAGAAGCAGTAGTTGGCCCAATTTGCCAGTTTTCTTTCCCCATGCTCCCCGAGGCATCCTCTTTGTGCCCTCTTAGAGATTCAAGCACCAGCTACCTGCCATGCTCTTCTCCAAAGTCTAAGTCCTAGATGCATGGATTTTCTTAACTGATTTTCAATTCCTGAACTCTTTTCTGAATATCTGAGGCAAAAGCACCAATTAGGTTGTGTCCCTTGTTAGCCTTTTTGGGGGGGGCCTTTCTTCAAATCCTCAGATGCCAGTGACCAAACCCCTCAGATGTCTGGATCCAAACTCTGTAGTGCTGCTCTTTCAAGATTCTAAATTCCATGAACCTCTTCTGTTTGTCCCCATACCCTTAGCTGACATGACTGCTATCTACAATTACTACCTCTGTGGTACATTCCTTTGGTATCTTACAGCATAAAGATATAAATTACACCAATTCTTTTCATATCCATATGCTATTTTACACACAGGTTAAATTTTGGATCTTATTTTCTTTCTTCTTATCTCTTTAAATAAAGGCTGAATTCTACATAAGTGTTAGTTCTTATGAAATGTAAAAGATCTAACCTAATTTGCCTTTATCATGTTCATGCTTGCTCCACTTTATCCAAGGGGCAGTGTTATAGAGAGACTGAGAGATGGAAGATGAGAAACCCACATCCTTCATCATCTGGGGAAAATTAGCTTCTGGGAAGCTAAATCTCCTCATCTATAATAACTCATATAGAGTTGTTGCAAATATCCAGGAAAGCATTCATGTGGAAGCATTTAGCAACCATAAGTGCAGTGTAAATTAGTTCCATTATCGCTACCAAATGTGACTAGGTGGTAGAAGGGAAAGATGATGAAATGAGAGGTAAAAAGAAGAAGAACAACTGAAGAAAGTATTCTAGAGTTTTCTACCCACTCAGAAATAGAATAATATATAGTTTAAAATATATATATATATATATATATATACACTTTTTCCCCTTCTATTTAACTCAGATCCTCAGCTGATACAGCACAGATCCTTTTTGCCAATGAGACAGAAGCCATTAACAGACAGCAAATACTGTTTATTGCAGACTTTCCAGCTGACTCATGTGAAAAAGGCACTATGAAAATTAATTTCTAGATAATTTCTCTAAATGATTTATGTTAAAATATTCAACATCCTTACATAACATCTGTTTTATATATGTGAAATAACATTTAATGACAAAACTTGTGTTCCCAAAAATAACATTTGTTGAAGGTTAGGTATCTTTCTTTTCTCTATGTGGAATCTTTCACAGGATTAAAATATGTGTAAATTAAGCGCTTCTTATTACCAGAAAGACTTGACACAGATAAACACATAAAATGGTCCCATTTTCTTTTAACTACTAATATCAATATTCAGAACTGAGGCTTTCATTAAGCAAAATACTGTAATTGCACATCAATGCAGACTACTTCCTTTGCTAGATTTTGAGCAGACATGACCTCTTTCCCACTTGTGCTTTCTCATATATAAGAACACAGTATATATAATAAGCAGAATATAAACTAAATCAAAATACAAGCTATACAAGGAATTGCAATCAACAGAGCCATGACGAACTGTCTTGAGAATGCTCCATAGATTTATATTTGCATGTCCAAGGTATGGCTGTCCTTTACAGTTCATTCAAATGTTTTAATTTTTTTAAACTGTTGGCATTAAGAACTTTAAATAAATCTAAATATTCTTCCACTGAGTATGTCAGAGAAGAGACCTAAGTAAGCAGAGGCTAGCCTACAGTGAGCTACGCCCTGAATGGCAGACACCATATTCACAGACAAAATCAAAACTGCTTAGATTTTAAATCATGGACAATATTGTTGCTTTGTTGCAGTGAATAAATCCACCACTATCTAAACAATTCCTGCTTATACACTGGAATGGGGATAAAATAATTACTCTATTAAAGAAAATCTTACCTTTGTAAAGTAGGAAAAATATTTTCCAAGGTTAAAAAATTCAGTTTAAATTTTTTTCAGTTTTAATAAAAATAATGGGCCTAGAAGCAAATCCTGTGCTCACTCAGGTTTGCATGGGTTTTTTTATGGTGATAAATTACACCAAGAAAAATGAATCTGACATTCCCTTCAAGGCTTCCTAAAACAAAGCATATTGAAATAATGCCAAAAACAATGGAGTTTAAAAACAAACAAACAGATTAGTGACTGCTTCCTTCATCAAAAGATTCCACTCCCGAATCACTAGCAGCAGCACTGATTTTTTCCTGTCGTCTTCTCATAATTTCTTGTAACTCAGAGCTGCCACTGCTATCCTGAAAAATAAACAGTTCAGACAAGATGGTTACTGATTTGTGTAGGCTGCAGGTCATGTAATGAAATGGCTCAGGATAAAAGTGTACTGTGGTTTTCTTCTAGTATCTCTTTAGGAAAGCTAATGGCTGCACTTTTTAAGTGAAGCTTCTGGACTTCGTTAACATATCACATTAATAATTTTTCATTTTGTAAAGTCTGTTAAGGCAATTCCCTCACTAGGCCTTGCATTTGAACATGATAAAGATAAATCAATAATGTATATGTGGTACTCTAGGTTTGCTGAGAGAAAGAGCTTATCAAAGAACTCTTTTTGGGTCAAGCAGGATACTGATCTGCCTTTAGAAGATTTTAACTCAAGCCAGAGTGGGCTCGGAATTCACCCAGTTTCCCTTCCACATAGTTCTGACCCTCTGATAATTCTAGCTTCTCTCCTTTCCTAGACCCTCTATAATCCGTGTACTCTCCCTTCTTCCACTCTTATCAACAGAAGTCTCTGATAACACAGGTGAATAATCTAAAAGATGAACTAGATCCAAGAAAAGGGTGAGGTGGAAGGTGGCTGAGGAACATAAAGAACGTCAGGTAGTCAGCCTCTGTCTCGGTTTCCATCCAGGGAACAGGAAGAGAACAAGAAGCAAGAGGCCATCCTGAAGTGGGTGGTGACAGCAAATGACAATAATGATAGGCAGGTGTGGGATGAAGGAATTCAGAAATTTTAGGAATAAGGAATTTTCTAACATACCTTTAAGAAGTAATTATACGATCTCAACAAAATTAGATTATAATGGTAATAAAACTGCTTGAGAAAATATATAATTCTTATTAATATTCAACATATGGAAAGAAAACAATCAAATCAAACTTCAATATGCAGCCTTTGAGATCAATGTTGTAGGGAAAAATCTCCAAGGGAAATGTAATTTCTCTTGATTTAGAATGGCTACAGGGTGATATGCATGAAGTGATTTTACCCTGAATTACTTAACTGTTGAATTTATAGAATATACCTGCTAGAGATGATTATGTATAAATTTCATGCCAAAGCCTACATTCTTTCATTTGAGTCCAAGTATAATTTTCGTGAAACTATTAAGAGCTGTGAGATGAAACCGTTGGAAACTACTACCTGTACATAGCCCATTTTAAGGCTGCAATAGGATATTGGAAACTTAAGTATAAGCCAATCTAGAAAACATTGACTCTCCTGCTTTCATACAGACCACTATAACTAAACAATTACTCTTTAGGGCTATTTTCAGTGATCTCTACCTAATGGATCTTTCCCGATTATTTAGATGTATTACTAGGCTTAATACACACAGCCAGAATTTTACTATTTTACAACCTATAAGCTATTAGACTCTCTAAACTAAATATTAAGAATAGGCAAGAGTTTTGGCCTCTTTAGGCACTTACTCATTCAGAAGCAAATTTCCATTGTTATGTCAAAATTAAAATTCCTATAGAAGTAGTGAACACATATAAAATGGGAACATTATGCTTTTTGTTAAATGTCCAAAAGTATGTGCTCAAGCTTCAAGTCATATGAATATTTTTAACAAATTAACCTTCCTGCAAATGTCACTGATGATCTCCAGTGACAAATTTACAAAAGCAGAGTTAAATTTAATTCAGCTCTGTTAAGAAAGGGAAATTGTCTAATACGGACATAAACAGTTATTTTCAGAGCTTTCAATTTGCAGAAAAACACCACCTCAGGTTGACAATGATACCTCTAATGCAGCTTTTTGTACAGTGATTTGGCTGAAGACTCTTGCCCCTTCAGGGCAGACTGATCTCAGTTCATCCTTACTGAGGGAGAAAAGCTGTGCACCATTTAATACTCCAAGACTATTGACAGTCCTAAAAAAAAGAGAAGAAAAACAAACTGAGCATTAAAACTACTGCCTACAAACAAAGGAGAAAACGTTCTGTTCTTTTCTAAGTGTTCCATACCCTGGAACCCTTATTAAATGCTACTACAGTCTTTATAGTCAGGGCAGTAACAAGGTTCTTTCATGATGGCCCTGAGGCTATGCAGATGATTAATTACAAAGTATCAAAAAGGAGCCAATTGGGGTTAGTATCATTGTTTAATATCAATTCCTTGTGATTTGGTGTTTCATAGAAGGTACAGTAACCTGGCAACTGACTAGCCATTGTACCTCATTTTTCAATCAAGCTGGGTAGGTAAGTTTGTAATACGTCAAGGCCCCTTGAATATGTATTATTCTAATAGTTCATTGTGCCAAATACACATGAAATGTTTACAGACTTTTAGATAGATAACAGAGCCTTTACCATGGGTTTATTAAAGGAAAGCTCTACGAAGATTCTAATTGATGCTAGGTAACATTGTCTATTTTTTATTTGCCAGAGACACTGTGTCCTGCAGCGACAGGAAAACTTACGCTGTATATGTCTTATGTGGTCTAGGGAGTCCAGCTAAGACCATAGTCACACCTAGCTTAGGTCCCAGGTTACATCAGAGTAACCTGATGGAGAAAAGAAGCTACGGGGCCTCAAAGCTGCCAACAGTTTGCTTAAAGAAACAATAATGAACAGATACTACCAACTTGAAAATGGGGTGGCATCAAAGGATAATAATTTCTGCTTATTTCAGTTCCTTTTCAGCTATAAATAGCTATAGTCATTTCTAGAGTATGCAGTCTGTGCCCTTATGTTTTTTTAAGAGTTATCTGTGACGTCTAAATTGAAAACAATGCATGACACAGAATTGTGAAGTATTCACAGAGAGACTTACACAGGGTTGAATCCCTTTGACTGTAACCATGTCTTCACATTTTCTGGTGTGGAGTCATAAGTGATATTGACAGCTGGCACATTCTGCCGTGGCACATGGAATTTCTTCTGAGCGGCACTCCGACCAATGGTCAGTCTGTGGATGAGTTCATCCTGCACTTCCTCCATCTGAGATTTCCTTCCTAGACACCAAAAAGGAGAAGGTTCTTTTCGGAAATCTCTAATATTACATCACCCTCTCTAGAACCCCTATCTCTATAATCCTTTGACCCCAGTAGCACCTACAATCTAGTGTTCCTACCATCTTTCCTCACTTTTATCCTCGCCTGGTATAAACTCCACGATCAATCATTAAAATAACTCCCTGGCTCTTTTCTAGTCCCTTCATTGTACTCCTTTGGCAAAACCCCAATCCTGGTTAAATCTAACTTTCTCATATTCTGTGCCTGTGCCTGCACAGCTGAATATAATACACCAATGCTGAGTTATCTCATGTTAAATTCATGATTATGAACCTTAACTTGGCTGATAACGCTTCCTGACAATTATACTACATTTCCTTAGACTGGTGGCTCTCAACTGGGGACAATTTTGACCCCAAAGGACATCTGGGAATATCTGAAGGCACTTTCGGTTGTCACAATTGAGGGAGAAAAGGGGGAAAGGCTGCTTCTGTCATACAGTGGGTAGTAGCCTGCCATGCACAAAGCATTCTATAATGTTAGCCTCTCCTGCAGCAGAGTATAATCCAGCCTCGAATGTCAAGAGGGCCTAGGTAGAGAAGACCTGCCTAAGGTTACGTAATTGCCCACTGTCTTAGGCAAGTATTGAATATATTCTACTTTCTCTACAAACCTCTAACCCTATTCCCCAATTCTCACCTTGAGCTGATGATCTCATTTCCTAATTTATGAATAAAAGAGTTAGAAGAGAACCTCCGTTCCCCTAGAAGTTCTTCCTACTAGCATTTTCCCCATATGCTCTGACTGCCTTCCTATTATATTACAGAGGAGCTGTTTCCCTGTTTCCAAGGGTAACCCTCCATGTATGCACAAGGCCTCAAGTTCTCTGCCTATTCATATACTCTGTCATTTCTCCCTTACTTTTCCTGTTATTAATTTTCCTCCTTCACTGAATCGGTTCATCAGCATGCAAACATGCTATTACTTTATGATTTCTGTCACCTTATTTAAACAAGCCCTTTTTACCATGTTCTTTCCTAGTCACTGTCCATTTTTCTGCTCCTTTTATTGTAAAATTCCCCATCACCTATATCTGGCATTTCTCCCCATGTTATCCCTCCCCAACTCCCTACCCTGCACTGTCCCTGCTCTATTCCCCCCCAGGCAGACGCCAGTGTGTGATGCTCCCCTCTCTGTGTCCATGTGTTCTCATTGTTCAACACCCACCTATGAGTGAGAACATGCAGTATTTGGTTTTCTGTTCTTGTGTCGGTTTGCTAAGAATGATGGTTTCCAGGTTCATCCATGTCCCTACAAAGGACACAAACTCATCGTTTTTTATGGCTGCATAGTATTCCATGGTATATATGTACCACATTTTCCCTGTCCAGTCTATCATCGATGGGCATTTAGGTTGGTTCCAAGTCTTTGCTATTGTAAACAGTGCCGCAATGAACATACGTGTGCACGTGTCTTTATAACACAATAATTTATAATCCTTTGGATATATACCCAGTAATGGGATTGCTGGGTCAAATGAAATTTCTATTTCTAGGTCCTTGAGGAATTGCCACACTGTCTTCCACAACGGTTTAACTAATTTACTCCCCCACCAACAGTGTAAAAGTGCTCCTATTTCTCCACATCCTCTCCAGCATCTGTTGTCTCCTGATTTTTTAATGATCATCATTCTAACTGGAGTGAGATGGTATCTCAATGTGGTTTTGATTTGCATTTCTCTAATGACCAGTGATGACGAGCATTTTTTCATAAGTTTCTTGGCCTCATATATGTCTTCTTTTGAAAAGTGTCTGTTCATATCCTTCACCAACTTTTGAATGGGTTTGTTTTTTTCTTGTAAATCTGTTTTAGTTCTTTGTAGATTCTGGATATTAGTCCTTTGTCAGATGGGTAGCTTGTAAAATTTTTTCCCATTCTGTTGGTTGCTGGTTCACTCTAATAATTGTTTCCTTTGCTGTACAGAAGCTCTGGAGTTTAAATAGATCCCATTTGTCTATTTTGGCTTTTGTTGCCTATACTTGTGGTGTTTTACTCATGAAGTGCTTGCCTATGTCTATGTCCTGGATGATTTTTCCTAGGTTTTCTTCTAGGGTTTTTATGGTGTTAGGTTTTATGTGTAAGCCTTTAATCCATTTGGAGTTAATTTTAGTGTAACGTGTCAAGATGGGATCCAGCTTCTGCTTTCAGCACATGGCTAGCCAGTTTTCCCAACACCATTTATTAAACAGGGAATCCTTTCCCCATTGCTTGTTTTTGTCAGGTTTGTTCAAAGATCAGATGGTTGTAGATGTGTGGCATTGCCTCCAAGGCCTCTGTTCTGTTCCATTGGTCTATATCTCTCTTTTGGTACCAGTACCATGCTGTTTTGATTACTGTAGACTTGTAGCATAGTTTGAAGTCAAGTAGCGTGATGCTTCCAGCTTTGCTCTTTTTGCTTAGAATTGTCTTGCTATGTGGGCTCTCTTTTGGTTCCACATGAAGTTCAATGTGGTTTTTTCCAGTTCTGTGAAGAGGGTCGTAAGTAGCTTGATGGGGATAGCGTTGAATCTATAAATTACTTTGGGCAGTATGGCCATTTTCACGATATTGATTCTTCCTAACCATGAGAATGGAATGCTTTTCCAGCTGTTTGTGTCCTCTCTTATTTCGTTGAGCAGTGGTTTATAGTTCTCCTTGAAGAGGTCCTTTACATCCTTTGTTGGTTATATTCCTGGGTATTTTATTCTCTTTGTAGCAATTGTGAATGGTAGTTCATTCTTGATTTGGCTCTCTTTAACAGTCTTTTATTGATATATAGGAATGCTTGTGATTTCTGCACATTAATTTTGTATCCTGAGACTTGGTGAAGTTGCTTATAAGTTTCAGGAGATTATGGGCTGAGACAATGGGGTCTTCTAAATAAACAATGTCGTCTGCAAATAGAGACAATTTGACTTCCTCCTTTCCTAATTGAATACCCTTTATTTCTTTTTTTTTTTTTTTTTGCCTGATTGCTCTGGCTAGAATTTCCAATACTATATTGAATAGGAGTGGTGAGAGAGGGCATCCTTGTCTAGTGCCAGATTTCAAAGGGAATGCTTCCAGTTTTTGCCCATTCAGTATATTGGCTGTGGGTTTGCTGTAAACAGCTTTTATTATTTTGAGATACGTTCTGTCAATACCTAGTTTATTGAGAGTTTTTAGCATAAAGGGCTGTTTAAATTTGTTGAAGGCCTTCTCTGCTTCTATTGAGATAATCATGTGGTTTTTGTCTTTGGTTCTGTTTATGTGGTGAATTACATTTATAGACTTGTGTATGTTGAACCAGCTTTGCATCCCCGGGATGAAGCCTTTTTGATCGTGATGGATAAGCTTTTTGATGTGCTGTTGCAATCGGTTTGCCAGTATTTTATTGAAGATTTTTGCATCTATGTTCATCATTGATATTGGCCTAAAGTTTTCTTTTCTTGTTGAGCCTCTGCCAAGTTTTGGTATCAGGTTGATGTTGGTCTCATAAAATGATTTGGGAAGGATTCCCTCTTTTTGGATTGTTTGGAAGAGTTTCAGAAGCAGTGGTACCAGCTCCTCTTTGTATGTCTGGTAGAATTCAGCTCTGAACCCATCTAGACCTGGGTTTTTTTTGGTGGATGGGCTATTAATTGCTGCCTCAACTTCAGCCCTTGTTATTGGTCTATTCAGGGTTTTGACTTCTTCCTGGTTTAGGCTTGGGAGGGTGGAAGTGTCCAGGAATTTATCAATTTCTTCCAGGTTTACTGGTTTATGTGCATAAACTTGTTTGTAGTAATCTCTGATGACAGTTTGTATTTCTGTGGAATCAGTGGTGACATCCCGTTTATCATTTTTTATTGCATCTATTTGATTCTTCTTCCTTTTATTTTTTATTAATCTCGCTAGCAGTCTATTTTGTTGATCTTTTCATAATACCAGCTCCTGGATTTATTAATTTTTTGAAGAGTTTTTTTGTGTCTCTACCTCCTTCAGTTCTGCTCTGATCTCAGTTATTTCTTGTCTTCTGCTAGCTTTTGAGTTTTTTTAATCTTGCTCCTCTAGCTCTTTCAATTTTGATGATAGGGTGTCGATTTTAGATTTTTCCTTGCTTCTCATGTGGGCATTTATTACCATAAATTTTCTTCTAGGCACTGCTTTAAATGTGTCCCAGAGATTCTGGTACATTGTGTCTTTGTTCTCATTGGTCTCAAATAACATCTTTATTTCTGCCTTCATTTCATTGTTTATCCAGTCAACATTCAAGGGCCAGTTGTTCTGTTTCCATGAAGTTGTGTGGTTCTGAGATAGTTTCTGAATCCTGAGTTCTAATTTGATTGCACTGTCGTCTGAGAGACTGTTATGGTTTCCATTCTATTGCATTTGCTGAGGAGTGATTTACTTCCGATTATGTGGTCAGTTTTAGAGTAGGTGTGATATGGTGCTGAGAAGAATGTATATTCTATGGATTTGGGGTGGAGAGTTATGTAAATGTCTATTAGGTTTGCTTGGTCCAGATCTGAGTTCAAGTCCTGGATATCCTTGTTAATTTTCTGTCTCATTGATCTGTCTAATATTGACAGTGGAGTGTTAAAGTCTCCCACTATTATTGTGTGGAAGTCTAACTCTCTTTGTAAGTCATCAGGAACTTGCTTTATGTATCTGGGTGCTCCTGTATTGGGTGTGTGTATATTTAGGATTGTTAGCTCTTCTTGTTGCATTGATCCTTTTACCAATATGTAATGCCCTTCTTTGTCTCTTTTGATCTTTGTTGGTTTAAAGTCTATTTTATCAGAGACTAGGATTGCAACTCCTGCTTTTCTTTGCCCTCCATTTGCTTGGTAAATCTTTCTTCATCCCTTTATGTTGAGCCTATGTGTATCCTCGCACGTGAGATGGGTGTCCTGGATACAGCACACTGATGGGTTTTGACTTTTTATCCAATTTGCCAGTCTGTGTTATTTGACTGGGGCATTTAGCCCATTTCCATTTAA